AAGTTAAGCATGAGCCAGCAATGTGCCCTTGTGGCCAAGAAGGTCAATGGGATCCTGGGGGCCATCAGGAAGAGCATTGACAGCAGGTCGAGGGAGGTAGTCCTCCCCCTCTACTCAGCCCTGGGGAGGCCACATCTGAAGTGATGCGTCCAATTCTGGGCTCCCCAATGCAAGAGAGACACGGCACTACTGGAGAAAGTCCAGCGGAGGGCTGCAAAGATGATGAGGGGACTGGAACATCTCTCCTATGAGGAAAGGCCGAGAGAGCTGGGCCTGTTCAGCCTGGAGAAAAGAAGGCTCGGGGGGATCTCATCAATGTCTACAAGTATCTGAAGGGAGGGTGTCAAGAGGATGGGGCCAGACTCTTCTCCGTGGTGTCCAGCGACAGGACAACAGGCAACGGGCACAAACCAAAACACAGGAAGTTCTGTCTGAATCAGAGGAAAAACTTCTTTCCTGTGAGGGTGACAGAGCCCTGGAACAGGTTGCCCAGGGAGGTAGTGGAGTCTCCTTCACTGAAGATATTCAAAACCCACCTGGGCACGATCCTGGGCAATGTGCTCTAGAGGATCTTGCTTGAGCAGGGAGGTTGGACTAGATGATCTCCAGAGGTCCCTTCCAATCTCAACCATTCTGTGATTCTTTGAAAGCCTGGTGGCGCTGCCCCACTGCCTGCCAGGAGCATGTTACCTGCAGGACGCGGGCAAGGGGGGGGGGGAATGCGCGTGTGGTGTCGCCCCCTTGAAGTGGGTGCAGAAAGGGGAGCAGCAGGGGTCCCGCTAGGGTCAGAGAGGGGGGCGCAGCAGCAGTTTGGGAGTGGACGTTCCCCATGCGCTGTGGTACAGGGACAGGTGGGGTAGGGCCTGCGCGGGACCAGATGGCAGCACCAGGGAAATAAAATACCCGCAGGGATGGGAGTAGCAGGGATAGAAAGAGTGTGGAAGAAGAAAAATGGTGTGAAAAGAGGAGAGGGGAGATGAGAGCAGAGCCAGGAAAGCCAGGAAACGGACTGGAGGGAGAGTCCAGAGTCAGAGCCCCTGTTGTAAGGGTGCGCAGGGGAGAACAAGGGGAAAGGTGGCAGGAGACCAAAAGAGCAAGAAAACCCTGAGCAGTGTCCTCTGGTTGCATGGGCACCTTCTGAGTGCAAGGCATGGCTCAACCTCTCCTCTGGTACCCTTTCATCCACGTGTGAGCCCTCAGCCCTTAGACCCCTTCCTTTTCCTTTTCCCCTGGTTGTCCCCTGTCGTGTTTCTATTTCACTTAGCTCCTTCCTCTCCCAAGAGGGCTTAATACTTTGTAGGGCCTGCCTAAAAGAAGGAGAAAATTTTCGTCCTTTACAGAGGTGGTCCCTCCACTGCAAACAATATCAAAATGAATTGGTTGTGTGTGTGTTAGAACCTTAAACTGGTACAGTCTACATGCAGTGTAGAATAGTAGGGAA